TGCATGTTTCTACAGTATGGTTAACTCCTCTACCTCTGTGTGAACCACATGATTTGACACTGGTGCCCAGTTTCCATCCCCACCAACCCATTGACATTGAATCTGCATACTAAGAATCAGATGTAAAGTTTCTTCCAAGACTACATCTTGTTGAGCTTTGTATGTGAAATAAACACACAGAAATGGTGCTACGTGAGAATTGTTTTGAGAAAATTAAATCAGTTGATTTGAAAAGACTTATTAAAGGAAATCACGATAAAATGTCCTTGCCGGGCGCTGGTGGCTCACGCCTGTAATCCTAGCTACTCAGGAGGCTGAGATCTCAGGATCGCGGTTCAAAGCCAGCCTGGGCAGGAGAGACCGTGAGACTCCTATCTCCAATAAACCACCAGAAAACCGGAAGTGGCGCTGTAGCTCAAGTGGTAGAGCGCTCGCCTTGAGCTGAAGAGCTGAGGGACAGCGCCCAGGCCCAGAGTTCAAGCCCCACGACCAACAAAAATAAATAAATAAAATGTCCTTGCTTTTCAAGCAAATCGGGGCGACACCTTTATTGTTTGGGGCAATGTGCAGAAGAAAATGCCTTCTATATTTAGAGCAAATATCACCAGTGTTTTGAAGTGCTTTCATTTTAAAAAAAGGCCTACCCTAGAGCTTGGAGCTGGGCATCAGGGAAGAGGGCTTCCAGGGCCACCTCTTCTATCTTGTGGATTTCCGTCAGTGTCCTGGGGTATATTTGTTTCTGCATTCATATTTCATTATTTTCAACTCAGTGTTTTATCCACACTCTGGTGTCTTACAATTAAGTTTGCCTGTAGTGGGAACTTTCAGTTGCAAATACCAGAAAACTCAACTGAAAATGATTTCCCCCAGTAAAGAAATTTCTCAGCTTACAGTACGTATTTTACCAGCCCTGGCTCCATTTTCCCAGCAGCTGCCCTTTCACTAGCTCGTCAGGTTCCTATTCCAGCTGGTAACAAGAGGGCTACAGTAGTTCCATTCTTCAGCTCTATCTGCCTATGAAAAAAAAATCCTGAAAGTCTCCTACGGTGTTTCTCAAGAGCCAGTTTTCCCAGGAGTTTTTTTTAGCATGCTGTGTCCTGTGTCCCCATTGACCTTCAGGGCATTAGTTTGAACAGCCCAGCAAGGGAAAGATTGTCCCCATTGGATTCTTTACTCCTAGCTATCCATTAAAAAAGGGACACGGGTAAGTTTTCCAAAGTAGTAATGCTTGCTTGACATTTTAGGTTAATTAAAATACAGTAGGGGTCCAAGTGCTTCTATTTTTTTTTTAAGTTTAGCATGTGATTCTAATATCAAATGGGGCTTATCCCTGAAGCTAGAGTCCTTCCCTGAAAATTACATGGCTAAAATAATAATAGTGAACGTAATCTGAATGCTGTTTGGGAAGGAAACATTGAATGCTGGGTATTGTCAGGACGCCAATTCTTCCATTTTCTAAAATAATTGGTTGCCAGTTTTAGGTGTTTAGTTACTTTTCTACATAAACTTTGAAATGAGTTTGTCAGGTTTCAGAATCGATTTCAGTAGACCCTAAAGTTAATTCTATTAGGCTTAATAGATTAATAAATTGGGCTTAATTGGATGATAGTGAGCTCAGGGAAGGAACCAGAGTCAGTGCAAATGTCTGTGAAAGTCTTTCTGCTGCTGGCTTTGCTGTTGCTCATGACTGAAACTTTCTTACATAGTGTGAGTAATGAAAAGTGGTTATTTTGAAGAAATTTTAAACAGAAAAGCTGGGGAAAAAATAAATTATGTGTTTGATCCTTGATCTTACGGCCAGGATACTGTTCCTGTGCTGCTTTTGCTCAAGGCTAGTGTTCTGACACCACAACTCCACGTCAGGCTTTTTAAATAGTTCATTAGAGACAAGCATCTTATGGACTTTCCTGCCTGGGTTGGCTTTGAACCGTGATTCTCAGATCTGAGCAGCCTCCCCAAGTAGCTGGGAGTCTAGGCATGAGCCACTAGTGGTTGGCTCAAATATATATATATATTTATTGTGAAAATACTGTAC